AAAATGCACCTTCAAATAGTGTCGAGAAATGCGGTTTCAATACTGGAAATCTTTGTGATAGTTTCATCTCTTAATTATAAAATTTCAAGCTTAAAAAATAGTGTAGATCGAGTAGATCTATGAAAACTTGAAAATCCTGAAAATTGACAGTCCAAAAATGCATTACAAGATGCACTATTTCGAAAACTTGAAAGCCATTTTTTTCTTATGTCCATGTATCTTGATGTCGAGATGATCAATTTGAGGATATTTGGGTGTCAAAACAACTTATTCTAGTGAAATTTTTGAGATGCACTCTAATTTGATTGTTTAGAGCCTTGGCTCTATATAAACTTTTCCCTATATATATATATATATGAAAAGCCCTAAAAATTCCCATGGGTGAAATTCTACAGTAATTTTACCCATGAGCCCAAGGGCTATCAGTCATTCGATAAAAGATTAGATGGTTGAGGGCATGTTAACTTTTTTTCTTTTCTTTTTTTTGTATACAAATTGGATTGGCATGAAATTGGGGCTTGTGTAAATCACATTAACTTGCACCCATTAAAAATATTAGAAAATGTTTTGCATATTTCAATATCAAGAAACTATCCCTGGATGTTACAAGGGCAGTTTGGTCATTTTTAATTATATGAAACCTTTTTTTATATTTTTGTTCGGTGTTGCATCATACGGATTTTTTGTAGATAAAAATTAAAATTCGTAGACCCAAATAGATTGATCTGATAGCCCATAGACCCATGGTCAAAATTCTACAGTTTTTCCTGTGAGGTTTATATATATATATATAGATATATGCTGATTTATTGATAATTAGATAATAAACCTAAAGTCCGTATGTTCTTTTTCTCTCAGGCGAGAAGGACACTGCTGATGAGACATGAAGCAGAAATGAAATCTAATGTCTATTGGCTTGGATTACTGGCACACCTACAGGCCTCTTCTATTCCAAGAAAGGTTGGGTCTAAACTATTCTTAGAATGAAATAAAGAGCTATTCTACTTGATCAAATGGAGAATAGACCATAGTTCATTGGCTTCATCAACCATTCAGTGGAATGATGGATGGCAATAGAGAGTGAGCCTGAGATTGGCTGCGATGTCCTGTTGTTAAGGGTCCCACTGTTTCTCTATGTCACCATCCATCATTTGGCTAAACGTTTGCCACCTTGTTGGACTTTGGTATTCGATAGCCCATTGAATGATGGGAAAATATCTCCATACACCCTATTTTAACATTTCATTTCCCAATGTTTGAAAATATTTTTTACGGCATAGATATCCCACATAGTATATCTTCTAACCTCCTATACTAACTTTACCTACCTGTTTTAGCCCAAACAAAAGTAAGAAAGACGCCCATGTCTATTCTTTTCTAAACCCCTCTCTCTCTCTATAATGAGTTTCTCTCTCTCCCTCTCTTTCTCCCCCGAACCTCTCTTTATCTCTCCAATCTCTCTTTCAGTCCTTTTTTAGAGAGAGAAACTCGTTATAGTGAGAGAGGGGTTTAGAAAGGAATAGACATGGGTGTCTTTTTTACTTTTGTTTGGGTTAAAAAGTGGTGGACAAAAAGGGTAAAGTTGCTCTAGAAGGTTAGAAGACATACTATGTAGAATCTCCATAGCACAAGAAATGTTTTCAAATCCTGGGTCTGTTGGGAAATGAAATTTTAAAATAGAGTGTACGGAGATTGCTTTTTTGATTTTCCATGACTTTCTTTGGTAAAACTTAATCAATGCATTTACATGAGCTAGGCTTCTTAATTCGACATATTTCCTGCTTAGCTTATTTCAGATGCATATTTGGCCTTGTGGCTTCTGAAATGTAGCTGACATTGCTTGATTCAGGACATATCATGCATTAAGGATCTCACCTCTCTATATGAGGCTGCAACAATTGAGGATGTATACGTTGCCTATAACCATTTGAAGGTTGGAGAGGATTCTTTATATTCCTGCATTGGAGTTGCAGGCTCACAAGCCAGGGTTGAAGCGGACTCTGGTAAGATCTTGTTTAGACTTCCTGCATGCTCATTGCGTTCTGTGTTTGTTACTTGTGTGATAGCTGTTATGTACTTAGCTTCCTTATTTTGTTTTTGTTCTTGTGTGATACCATTTGTCTTTATATCTTAATGCATTCATGCGTTAGCCCTGTTTAGATCTGGCCCTTTATTTTCATACGCTGAGAAGCTGTCTCTCTCTCTCTCT